TGCAATAAAATGAGAGGAATAAAAAAGACACGAACGCGATATGGCATTTATGAAAGCGGAAGAGCTCTAGAATATTCGACTACCTGCAGTTTTTCCCCCTAAACGTCAATAGTTTATTTTATAGTGTATGGAAATTATGCTAATTTCGTCAAAGTTAAGCTAAATTATTTGAAAAATCTCGTGTAAAACTTCTCTTACTATTAATCTTGTCTTTAAGAGTGTATAGTAAAATTTAATGACGCATTTTTTGGGAACATTTTAAGCCACTATTTTTCATCCGTGTGGGTGTTTTAACCAGTGTTTGGGTAAATTCTAGTAGTAATTGAAAGGACAATAAAAAAGGGGTTTTAAAATATATCCACTCCAGCGCCTCTCATCGCTTCTGGGCTAACTTTGTAGTTTTAAGTATTTAACTCATCGCGGCCAAATTAATTTTGTTTTGTCAGTGCCCGGTAAAATACACACGCACCAAATTTGACAAGGAAGAACGAAAATTGATCCCAAAATATATCAGGCTATTAGCCAGTCCAAAGTGCTAACTAACCCAACAAATGCTTGTACATTTGACAAAGTCAATAAAAACTCATGCAATGCGACCGGAACCTGACTCAAATCTGAGTATTTTGTATAGTAATGATCCTCCAATGGATCTCCCCCCTTTACCATAATTGTAGGAGAAGCCGCATCGAGCGTTTATTTTTTCCATAGGGATAACACGTAAGAAAATGATTTCTTTTCTTTTGAGGTCAATATATGTAATTCTCTAGGATGAATCAAAAAGCTCAATTTATTATTGTAGATAGGGGAGATTCAAGGGAAAAAATGTTCTGCACTAAAACGATAAATCTTTTCTTAACAGTTTTGACTTGAAGAGAAATAGGACAACTCTTATTGTAACATAGACTCAATAAAGCATTAACATTAAAATTTATTTTTATTAGCTTCTACAATACATACATATACATACTTACAAATATATTTTTTTGTTTTCCAGATTCTTCGTGCAACGACTTTGGCAAATGTAAACGGTAAGCTTTAGAAATGGAAATGACTTTGGCTGCCATACTATAAACTACTATATCAATGAAGAACGCTGACCTCAATTAAACTTCTAACTGGTGTAAATGCACGCAATGCATTCTTTTTTATATATCTACTAATTTCAAAACTTTCTACGAACTTTTTTGTACTTAATAAACTTATGGAATTTTCGTCTTTACAAAAAATGTTCCCTTCTCATTGCTCTCTTCTTGGTATTTGTGCGTAAAGGGCAAAGAGAAGGTAAACTTTTTCGATAGAAACGAAAACGCCATTAAATTCTTAACTGAGGGCATCAACGACAGGATGTTGACTGCAACTTAATTACTTTGAGACACTACTGAGTAATATAAGTAGTTAAGTGGCACAACAGTAAGCTCAGTAGGCCCTGGAGAGAATGCATCACCTTGAAATGTCATTGAACTTGAAGAATGAGCAGCATAAACTTACCCATACATTTGAGGATGGGTATGCATAAGTATCTTTGTAGGTAAATATTGTATAGTGTTTCAATGGAAGTTGGTGCCAAACGATAAACACTTATATAACTACGCAAACATGTCTGTATATCTTATGTTAGTTTGATGGCTTGACTTATATAAAATATTGAACTTTAATTAATGGTAATTAAATAGCGTTGGCGTTTTGGATTTTTTTTTTTTAATATTTAAATAAGCACTAGCAAATATTGATACTAAAATGGGGCCACAGCAAACGGCCTTCATGCTACAATTTTCCCTATATACCTTTACATTGTTGAATTTTTTTTTCATTTACCTCACGCTATACAGTATGCAGGTTTGCATCATAAACCAACAAAAGGCGTCACAGGTACAACGTGTTGGCTGTGGCATGCGACACTTAAAAAGACATTTCACTTAAATATGACTACACTGTTGGCGTGCTCAATTACTTACTTTCTGTTAGAGAATCTTCACATAAATAAGTACATTCGTATTCACAAGTATACACGATCTCTTTAAATGTATGTATGTACATATGTACATACATATATATAGTCCCAGCAGTATAACAAATGAAATGTGCTCACGCAGCGTTTAAATGAATTGTATTAATTGATTGGGTTGCACGTTATCGAAAACATATAAATATGTTTGTATGTACATTAGACCGTAACACCTTAAGAGCAAACAAAATAAGTTCGCCATACGCCACTGGCAAGGCAATTTCAATTTTTTATTTTTTTTTATCGAAACCCAGAAAAAATTCAGCTAAATTTATTTCTCTAAACATTTTCAGCTGACTTTTTCTGAGTTTAGAGGTTGCCTTTTTAAATATTTTGGTGACAACTACATTCAGTAATATTTTTTTTAATAGTTTTAGTGGAATAATCAAAAGATTTCCTTTCCAAAAGTTTAGTGATTTTTGGTGAGCTTTACTTTACTGACATTAGGGTGGTTAGTTGGAGTGGTGGGAACTGAGATCGTGTGGATAAGTATTAGAACGGTGGGTTTGAGGTCAATTAAAAAGTATTAAGAGGTCGCTCAACGCGCTCAAAGTTTTCCATGTACATATTTTTATATGAGAAAAATTAATTTTTTCGTAGAAATGGTATAGAATTCTTTGAAAGTCAATATTTCTCGATCGGAAAACTCTGGTTCTCTTCAGGAGATTTTCAATAATAATACCCAATTGTCTATTTAACCATTTTTTAATACTAACGATTTTTTATTGGTCGCCCCATTGCATTTTTCGGGGTTTTTGTAAGTTTTTGACGGAGTTGCAATGAAAAAATGGCTAAACAAACAATTGGGTATTGTTACTGGTTATCTCCTGCAGATAAACAGAGTTTTTGGTAAATATTGATTTTTAACTATACTATACCATTTCTGCGAAAAGTTGTTTTTTCCCCCACATAAAATACATGGAAAACTTTAGGCGCTTTGAGCGACTCCTAAATATATTTTGATTTCAAAATAAAAAATAAGAGTATATTTTTTTCAGTATAGAACAATCCTAGGGGGTGAGAGCCTAAAAATTCCGACTTTACTTTTTCACATGCATTTTGGACCACCCTAACGTACATACATATATATATGTAGGTATTCATCTCCCCAGCTGCTCTTCCTTTTTTAATTGATGTCAACTTTGCACAACGCTCAAATGACTCATGTTCTCTCCATTTGTAATAAATAGTGGCACAATCCGTTTTATTAATTAACGTTCATTTTTGTTCTATTAAATGAAGCTATTAGTGTGGTATGTAAGTACATACGCGTTCATTCCATAAAGTTTGTGGCATTTCTAAGACAGTTAAATTGTTTATCGTAAATATTTATGAAGACACTTGACACGCAATTTTTATACATTTTGCATGCTATTTGGCAGAACTACTTTTGTACGTAAAAATGACGTCTCCTTTTTGGCTTAATTTTTTTCCATTGTCTCTCGTTGTTTCTTATATATTATCGCTAAATTGGAATATGGGGTAGAATGAAAAAAATAGTAACGCAAGTGTATGCATATTTACATAAACATATATCCACCCAGTTTTCAGTTGTTCTACTTTTACCCTCTACTTGTTAGCAAAAGTCCATTTTCTATTCGTTTGCAACATATTCTTTCATTTTTACTCTGGACTTTAAGCGCTGAGCCTTCACTTAATTTTTGCTTTTTTTTCAGTTGTTTATTCGGAGGGGAAAACACACCATTTTATTTCAAATTAGTTTTTATTTGTTTGCGCATTTTTTCTATCTTTTATCTCTTCGTCAAATGCAGTTTATTTCTCGTACTTGGAAGGTCATTCAATGATAAGTCAAGAGTGTATCTGCAACACGGCGCGCGGAGTTTTGAAGTAAATGAAAATGAAAAAATGAGTTATAGAAAATCAAGTTAAGCTCAGGCTACTCACCAAGGTTCAAAGGTCTAGTATAATCTGCAAAAGCGGAACGCTGCTCCGAACACTCTTTTAGATTTCCTGCCATTGGTTTTGGCAAGACAAAACAGATGGCAGCGCACGCTGCTCTTCGATTAAGGGAGGCATCCCAGTGGAAACCTGAAATGTTGCTTTATTTACAACCAGGGATCGTAACACTTATAAGCGATATCGAAAAAATCATCATTTAATCCTTATGTTTTGATCAATCGAAATTGTTTTTAAAAGAATTAATTTCTTAACTGCATGTAGGAGGGTTGCTAACTGCTTTTAAAAATGAAATTGAATTTCAATTGAGGCAATTAAGTTATTGAAATATGTATTACAATATGGGTGTAAGACGAAAGAAGTTGAGGAAGAGCTTACTTTGAAGTCATTGAGGAAACGAAATACTAATCTTTAGTTTAAACATTTAGAATATTTTTGAGATGTTTGAAGAGGGTTGCCACCGGTTAAAAAAGTTAAATTCAAGTTACTTTTTAAGCTAAAGAAATTACTAAAGTATAGGTATCAATCGAAATGGGTTTAAAAATATGTACTTAATTTTTGAACTATATTTAAAAGGGTTGCCACGTGTTTCAAAAATCAAATTCAACTGAATTCATAAATTAACTGAATGATATAAAGCAATGTCAGGTGAAAGGAATTTAAGAAGATTTTAGTTTGAAAATACTTTTGAAGAGGGTTGCCACCTTTTAGAAAAGGACGAATTTAGTGAATTTATACACAATTATATTTGTATATAATATTAAAATATGTGTGCTACATGAAAGATTTTTTCATACATATTATTTTGAAAATATGTATGATTAGGGTTGCCACCTTTTCCAGAAGTCAAATCTGCGTAACTATCTTAGATGGAAATTATAACCTTTTTAGTGTGATTTAAAATTTGAAAACCCAACACCATTCGGGACCTCTTTTCACTTAGAAACAGCTAATTTATTTGAAAGCTGGCACACGCATCGCTTATAACTCTGACTAGCATTTTGGCGGTAAATGAGTAACACTATAATTTGCACTTCACAAAACAATGTAAATAAAATGTACGCTTACAGTAATATGGTGTTGTTGTTGTTGTTGTCGTAATTGCATTTTATTTCTATTACATTTCCTTTCTTATAAAAAGTTGGCAGACATACAATACATTTTATATTTTAATACAAATACCTTGTTTTTTTTAATTCACTTTTACAACATAAATTGTAAATTTTACAATTATATGCACCTGCGATGTGCGTGCACATTTGTTGGTGTTTTAGCATTTTTATACTTTTATTTTCATACTTTTTCTGCTTAGCTAAATTTTTTTTAAATACAACTTACACAAATATACAAAAAAGGAACACTTCTACTTCTTATTATAATTATTCTTCATCTTCTTCTTCTTCTTCGCTTCAGTTTTTATTGACATAATTACTGAATTCATGGATCTCACCCAGCAATTTTTTAAATATTACACTCTTTTAGCCTCTCTTTGAAACTTTTCCTCTTCACTTCTACAATAAATGTAAACCAGTTTTTCTTTTGCTTGCAATACTTATCGCAAAATTACTGCAGTTAATAATAAAATTTTAACATTAAAAAAATAATAATTCGGTTTTCGCTGTTGTACGCAAAAACAAACCTCGAGAAATATGCACTTAGGTCTTTTTTTATTTTTGGCTTTTATTTATTTATAAAGTATATATATATTATTTTTTAATTTATATTTCGCTTTTCATTTACTAATATTATTTTCCATTGTTCGTCATTGGCAGCGTAAAAAATTTAAATAAATACATATTTTACACAAAAAAATACAATTTTTTTTTAAGTACAATACATAAGTACACAAGTTGTTTCGTTGCTGTTTAAAGCGAAAATATTTTTATTTCGTTTCTACTTTTTTGTTGTTCTTGTTGTTTTTGTATTGCTGTTGTTCACCCACATCGTTATTTTTAAGATTTTCTAATTCCTTCTGCCATGTGGTGTTGTTTTAATTGTTGTTGATGTTGATATTTTGATGCGTTGAAAAAATTTTCGTTTATTGGATAAGGTCGACTTATTTTTAATGGTTTCGTTTTTTTGAGTTAGCCCTCGTTTCATAGTTCGTTTTACTTGTTTACTAAATAAAACAATGTTCGCGTTGTCGTCGTATTTAGAAAATCGTGCGATGTGCTGCAGAAAAAACAATAGAATTAATTGGTGTTTGAATAAATTAAAGGTTTATGCTCTTCAACTTGGTAAACAAATAAACTACTGTGTTACATACAAATACATATATATATATAGGTGCCTAAAAAATAGTACTTTAGGGTAGATCAAGATGCACTAGTATCGCCAAAAAAATTGAATTTGTGGTTTCTAAGTACTACATACTAGATTCAAAGATACAAGACGTTTCCAGCAAACGGTTGATTAGTTCCAGGCCTCGAACTTATTTAAATAGTGCTTTCTTCTAGAAGGTAGATTCCATCGATATACAGCTAAACAAAGCTGCCTAGTCATTAAATTCCCATTGAATTCGATATTTTTTTAATGTCCCAAAAACACTCACAAAATTAACCCAAATTAACCCTGCCTGATAACTGCAGTGTCTTTCGGGTGGAGATATTTGCTATATCTCATACGGGATAGAAATTATCTATCAGGGGACGTTACTTTATTCGTTGACAGCCATGCGGCATTGAAAACATGAGGCTCTAGGGTGGTAAAATCGAAAGCAGTTCGGAAATGTCGTGCAACGTTGGCTTCACTGAGTAACGTCATAACCTCTCTCTGCTTGGTTCCTGGACATAGCAATATGGAAGGGAACGCCGGGATGGCTAGACACGGCTCGGAAATGCAAACTAGCAAAGCGGACAACTCCCACCGATTTCTTTGGATCAATCGAGACGACTGTGAGGAATCAAGTTGCTTGTGGCCGAGACTCAATAAGAGTCGTACTGAGGAACTATTGACACTAAACCAAACTGCCGTTAGGGTCCTTACCGCTGTCATCACATGCTCCATCGATGGTGTATACAAAAAAGCTCCCTTTGCAGAAGTTGTCGGGATGAGTATGAAGAGCTCTCCAGACAAGGCGCCTCAAGCCTTTGGGATCAAGCTTTTCAATAGCTTGAGGTAGATAGCGGAGGTGAAATTATCAAACATCCACGGCTTCATTCGGGATAGTAAATGGTTTAACAGTGGAAAAAGGTCAACGGTTCGACCTAAACTCTACTCAAATCACAACCTTGTTGCATCCATGATACACATAGACCTCTGTGCATAAACCAGTCGACGTCTAAGTATAGAAGGAAAGCTCGACGTTAAAAAGCTGCAATCGCAACACATAGCGCACATAAAATTTCTCGTTCCCTATATACCGCCCTTGACGAAGTACATTGTAATTGGATTACAGCGATACCGCAGAAACAATTGGTATGGCGAAGAAAGTCAAGACGCCGCAGAGGATACGCGCAGCGCAAGCTGTACCAGAGTGTTATCGAGATTTGAAAGGGGAAGATAAACGTATTTAAAAATAGCCGAAATACGTGAATGCGGAGAGCTTGAAATGCTAACCGACAGGAACAACGTCCAAAAAAATTTGAATAAGTCCTTTAAAACCTATCAATGTTTAATGTTAGATCAGAAGCATTGTTTGGAACATAGATCAAAGCTACAGACCTCTACCATTTTCCCGAATCACTCATTTGCTGGAAACTTCTATCAATACGGGCAAAAAAATAAAATTCACATTCACAAGCTTCGACTACTGTCTTTGTAATGGTTCTAAGTATAAATATGTATGTCATAGCGTAAATACGTATGTATGTTAACTTCTATCGCACTACGCCCGCTTATGTGTATGTATGTAAAAGAAAATACTACCAATCCATGTATGTACATATGTGTTATTCATCAGCAATACTAATTTCGAATTTTGTATCGTGCAACAGATGGCGCGCTATGTATGCAGCAACTGAGAACTTTAAACATGCAGGGAATACATATTTACAAATGTCAAATGTGTTCTTACCAATTTTTATTTTATAACAATGTGCGGAAAATTTGCAATTGTTTCTATCTATTTAACAATTTGATTTGGCTCTAAAGGTTGGCTGTTGGTTAGAACATAAAATTGGAATACATAAATGTAGTTTTTTACTAATTCACTACTAGTATATGTATGTACGTTTAGTATTTCGTTCTGATGACATATTTATTTAACGATGTTTCAACTTTTATGTACGTTTTTTATGTTGCATGGAGTTGTAATTTTTTTTTTCGAATCTTAAACAGATATTTTTTTTTTTGTTATTATTTCAGTTTGTTAAATGATGCATTTACAGCCGTTACGTTTCGTTGTAAGTATTACTTTGTTTGTCGTTATCGATCATTTGCAAAGTTATTGGAAAATTTCTTTTCATTTAGAAAATTTCTTCGCCATCAGCTGTTATGAAAATGAATAGAGAGATATTTTGAGATAATATATTTATGTTTATTACTCGTAAATGTATAGAAATTTGAGGATATATACAAGAGAAATGTAGGATATTAAAAAGGTGTAAAATTGTGAGTGTAAAGATTTGAGTATAAATGTGAGTGAAAATATACGAGTGAGTTTTTTATGAGTGCAAAAAATGTGAGTGAAAAGCTATGAGCGAGTTTCTTTTTTTATTGGGTGCGAAATTATGCATGTAGAAATTTGAGTATAAATGTGAGTGAAAATAAACTATGCGTGTAAGAATTTGAGTATAATTGTAAAGGAAAATATATGAGTGAATTTTTTTATAAGTCCAAAACTATTCGTGTAAAAATTTGCGTATAAGTGTAAGTGAAAAGATATTAGTGAGTTTTTTATGAGTGCAAGATTATGCGTGTAAAACTTTGAGTATAAATGTGAGTGAAGAGATATAAGTGAGATCTATTATAAGAGAAAAATTATTCGTGTAAAAATTTCAGAGTGAATGTGAGTAAATTTTTTATGAGTCCAAATTTATTCGTTTAAAAGTTTCAGCACAAATGTGAGTGAGTTTTTTATGAGCGAAAAATTATGTGTATGGAAATTTTAGGTTAAATGCAAATCAATAGATATGAGTGAGTTTTGGTATAATTCAGAGACCGTACCGGTTATTCATTTTATAATAAAAAGCGAAAAATTTAAGTTATTTTTAGACTTTTATTATTTTGAGCAAATAATACCGGGTAATTTTGCTTTTTATTTTTTTAAGGCAAAAATAAAAGTTAAAATTTGCCTTTTATTTTTTCGAGTAGAAAATAATCGGTAATTATTGCCTTTTATTTTTTCAGGCAAAGATAAAAGTCAAAGTTCCAAATCAAGTATTCCAGAGTTTTGTATACTCGAACGTAATAGTTTTAAAGATCCTATCTGGATTCTAATAACTCCCTAATAAACAAATACCAGGGTTAGATCAAATCTTAATACGTATTACTATGTATAAGTACAATACATAAAGGGATCTTTTGATAACGGCATCAGATCTGCACCGATTATTCGATTTTCAAAACTGAGGTTACGAATTAAGGGTATGGCTTCTAAATGTACAACAAGGTATGAGATTTTTGAAAAGGGTTGCCACCTTTTTTAAAATTATAAAACCTGCTCGTGTATTAAAAAAATTAGGTGTAAAATGAAAGGGCAGGGCCTCTAGAAGTGCAATAAAGTTTAATTTTTTTTAATTTGGTTGCCACCCGCTTATAAAATTACAAAACTTACACCGTTCGCGCAAATTTAAAAAATTATATAATGTGTCATATAAACGGACTTGGTCTATAGATCTACAAGGAAGAATGTCTTATTTTTTTAAAGGGTTGCCAGCTGTTAAAAGTTATTTTTTTTTGTGCAGAGCACCAAATTTACACCGTCCTCTCGATTCTAAAATGAGGTGCCAAGTGAAAGGTATTCACCTAGAGATGAGCTTTCTGTTAAATTTTTTTTTAATGTTTGCCACCTAATTGTAAATTTATTGCTTGAAATATGATACTCAGTAAAATATCGCAATATGGGCATAAAGCGAGGTTTTTATACTAAATTAATACGTTAGTGGTTTTAAGAGTTGCCACCCATTAAAAAATATATAGTTGTGAAAGGTAAGTAACGTATTAAGGACAATCGATATTGGTATCAAACGACAGCTAGTTAAATGTCCTTTGTATAAATGTATGCGAATTTTCGACAGTTGTCGTCTAGTTAACAACTCCTAATTAGCTTTCGATTGATAGCAATATCGAATGCCCTTAATACATGACTTACCATTCATAGTTATAAATGTGTTTAATAAGTAGTAACTCTATTAAAAGGCACCAGTATATTAATTTAATCTCAAACCCATATTGTGATATTTTACTATCATATTTTAAACAATGCATTTTTAATTAAAAAAAAAAACAAATCACGTCTATAGGTGAATACCTTTAATTTGACACAACATTTTGAAACTCGAGAGAACGGTGTAAATCTCATTCTCTGCAATAAAAAGCTGTGTTACAGGTGGCAACTCTTTTTAAAAAAATAAGAGGTTCTCCCTTGCAGATCTATAGACCAAGCCCGTTTATATGGCATATGATATAATTTTTTTAAATTGCGCGAACGGTTTAAGTCTTATGATTTGTTTAGCAGGTGGCAACCCTATTCAAAATAATGAAACCTTCTTGCACATCTAGAGGCCCAGCCCTCTAATTTGGAACCTATTTTTTTCTAATACAATGAACGGTGCAGGTTTTATAATTTTAAAAAAGGGGCAACCCTTTCCAAAAAAGTCATACCTTGCTGTACATTTAGAGGCCAAGCCCTTTAATTTGGAGCCTCAGTTTTGAAAATCGGATGATCTGTGCAGATCTGATGCCGTTAACAAAAGATGCCTTCATGTATTGTATTTATACATAGTACATACATATTTAGATTTGATCTAACCCTGGTATTTGTATATTGGGGAGTTATTAAAATCCAGATAGGAGCTTTTAAACTAATAAATTCGAGTATACACAACTCTGTAATACTTGATTTGTAACTTTGACTTTTATTTTTGCCTGAAAAAATAAAAGGCAACAATTACCGATTATTTTCTGCTCAAAAAAGTAAAAGGCAAATTTTAACTTTTATTTTTTGCCATAAAAAAATAAAAAGCAGATATAATCGGTACTATTTGCTCAAAATGATAAAAGTCAGATTTTTAAAAGTCATGGAGGAATCACAGTCTACAATGTGAAATGAGTCTAATGGTACCTTTAAAAAAGCTATAGCATAATTTTTTCACTATGCCTTTTTGATGTCAACAATTGTAAAATAACTTTTATTTTCAGTCTCTGGTATAATTGCAAAATTATGCGAGTAGAAGTTTGAGTATAAATATGAGTGCAAAATTATGCGAGTAGAAGTTTGAGTAAAAATGTGAATGAATAGGTATGAGTGCAAGATTATGCGTGTAGAAATTTGAGTTGAAATTTGAGTGAAAAAATATGAGTGAGTTTTGTTGCAAGATTTGGATTGAACGGATTTGCGAAATTTTTTTAAGGATGCAATTTTTGAAAGCTCGAGAGTCATATCGAATGTATATATGTCCTATGCGAGTTTACGGACTTTTTTTGACTCATCGTTACGGTAAGTTTTTTATGGAATTGGTAAAAGTATTAGTGAGTGGAATTTCTCATAACGCTTCAGTAGTTTAGTATAAAATTCCATGTTAAATGAATGAGTGGGAAGGCGATGGAATGGATTGAATGTAGTCTTATTTTAAACATCGTTTTCAGAGAGTGTGGTGAATTATGAGTGAGTGCTTTGTTGGGGTGTGAGTGACTATCTAAGAAATTGTAGGCTTATACAAGAGCGCGTGTATGAGGTGAGTATGGGCATTTTAAATTTTGTAGTATTTTTTTGCTGCTCAGGTTTCATCTAAAATCTAATTTCGTTCAGTGTAGTGCTCATAAATGTGTATCTAAATTTTCTACAGTGTATGTCTTGGAAAATTCTCTAAATCAACGTGTATTTGCTTGTGTGCTTGAAAATGGGAAAAGTGTTTTTCTTTTTAACTTTCGGAATGGGTATGGAATCAAATTATTTCATTTCACAATACAGAACAAAGGGAAACCAAATCCACTTTATTCAATAAAATATTTAATAAAGAAACAACTATTAAACGTAACATGTGTTTAACTAAAAACTCGATAAATACTTACGGGTCAATGGTCTAACTGGATGTCTCGACCACAAGTAACGATTCTTCACTGGCGACAAATACGAGTCACGTGCAATTGGACTGGAGTAGCGTGGCACGGAGAGGGCACGGAGGGGTATCAAATCAGCGGCATCCCACCAGAACGGATCACGCGTAAATGCTGAGATGGGTGCAAAGGGGCTGGGGTTCAACAAATCCCTGTAGCGGTTGCGTGGATGGAAGATTGGAAGTCCTATTTGTTTGTTTTTTTTTTTTTTTCATTTGTGTTGTTGCATACATTTGATGATGTTTCGATGAATGCATTTGTTGTTTTTTATTTATTTTCGATTGTAGATGGTTAATTTTATTGTTGTTTACGTTATTTGTTTTGTTGTTTTTTTTTTATTGTTTGCATTTATGACAGCGAGTGAGTGCAGTAAGAAGAGTAGAAAGAAAATTTTGTGTTTTTTAAACTAGGAAAACAATTAGCGACGCGTCGAATAATTTTTTTTTTTGGAGAAAATACACGAAAAAAGAGAAAAACAATGCTTTAGAACTTAAACTAAACAAAGAACATAAAATGCAAAATTTGTTATTTTCCAGTTGGGTACACCCATACACATACGAATTCGCAACTCGATGCGAGTAAGTGATTTCTAGTACTTGTACATAGCTGGTTTTGAAAATATCATTTGTTGGCCAGCAAGGATGTGTTGGGTTAAAAAACTTGCCGCTGCTGGGACCCGGCACAAAGTCATTGGTTTTTTCTTTTTTATTTTTGAAGTTGCGTGCTTCATGAAGATTCACAAACTACTATGCAACTACGATAGGATTCTACTAATAACTACATATATGGCAACTACAAAGTATAGGCGTAGGAATTTATGAAAAAAACTTCTAATAAAAGGCATGCATAGAAACAATTTAAAGGCAATAAAAAATTAAAAAAAAAAATTCTCATAATTTTAAAAAACGAATACAGAATCGAAAATTTTGTAAAATTTCATACGTGCATACACATGGTACAATTGTTACTGGTATTGTCTTCCCGGAGAGAGCGCATATTCCGATCTGCCTTTTTTGAAAAACATCACCAAAAAGTGTACTGCATATACCATATACGTACAGTTATTTTTTTAAGCAAACCTTTTCGCAGAGAACTTATTTAATTAGCAAACGCCGAAAACTTAACATTTCCTTACGAAATTTACTATTTTGTAAATATACGAATCCTATAAGGATCATATTTAGTCCTGAGATATGCTAGTCTCTGCATCTTTTCGATTTTTTTCTGATTGCTGCTTAAAGCTCGTTAAGTTATAATCGGTCGAATGACTGTGGTACAGTGATAGTCCTCCAGCTTCATTGTTCTTTCCCAACTCTACTCCTGAATGGAAGTTTGAGTCAATACCTAAGCTGAAGATTTAGCTTCTCCTTGGTGAAGATAATTCAAGGAGCATTGTTTTTCTTCTGAACAAAATGAGACCAGCTTTAATATGGTTAACTCCTTGCTCAGTTTGATGAATCTTAGGCACAGAACAAGGGCGCTAGGAGCGCTGATAGATCATATAACGGGTGATTTTTTTGAGGTTAGGATTTTCATGCATTAGTATTTGACAGATCACGTGGGATTTCAGACATGGTGTCAAAGAGAAAGATGCTCAGTATGCTTTGAAATTTCATCATGAATAGACTTACTAACGAGCAACGCTTGCAAATCATTGAATTTTATTACCAAAATCAGTGTTCGGTTCGAAATGTGTTTCGCGCTTTACGTCCGATTTATGGTCTACATAATCGACCAAGTGAGCAAACAATTAATGCGATTGTGACCAAGTTTCGCACTCAGTTTACTTTATTGGACATTAAACCAACCACACGAATGCGTACAGTGCGTACAGAAGAGAATATTGCGTCTGTTTCTGAGAGTGTTGCTGAAGACCGTGAAATGTCGATTCGTCGCCGTTCGCAGCAATTGGGTTTGTGTTATTCGACCACATGGAAGATTTTACGCAAAGATCTTGGTGTAAAACCGTATAAAATACAGCTCGTGCAAGAACTGAAGCCGAACGATCTGCCACAACGTCGAATTTTCAGTGAATGGGCCCTAGAAAAGTTGGCAGAAAATCCGCTTTTTTATCGACAAATTTTGTTCAGCGATGAGGCTCATTTCTGGTTGAATGGCTTCGTAAATAAGCAAAATTGCCGCATTTGGAGTGAAGAGCAACCAGGAGCCGTTCAAGAACTGCCCATGCATCCCGAAAAATGCACTGTTTGGTGTGGTTTGTACGCTGGTGGAATCATTGGACCGTATTTTTTCAAAGATGCTGTTGGACGCAACGTTACGGTGAATGGCGATCGCTATCGTTCGATGCTAACAAACTTTTTGTTGCCAAAAAATGGAAGAACTGAACTTGGTTGACATGTGGTTTCAACAAGATGGCGCTACATGCCACACAGCTCGCGATTCTATGGCCATTTTGAGGGAAAACTTCGGAGAACAATTCATCTCAAGAAATGGACCGGTAAGTTGGCCACCAAGATCATGCGATTTGACGCCTTTAGACTATTTTTTGTGGGGCTACGTCAAGTCTAAAGTCTACAGAAATAAGCCAGCAACTATTCCAGCTTTGGAAGACAACATTTCCGAAGAAATTCGGGCTATTCCGGCCGAAATGCTCGAAAAAGTTGCCCAAAATTGGACTTTCCGAATGGACCACCTAAGACGCAGCCGCGGTCAACATTTAAATGAAATTATCTTCAAAAAGTAAATGTCATGGACCAATCTAACGTTTCAAATAAAGAACCGATGAGATTTTGCAAATTTTATGCGTTTTTTTTAAAAAAAAAGTTATCGAGCTCTTAAAAAATCACCCGTTAAATGGATGGCGTATGGTTACCATATACAACGGGGAGTAGAAATGAGTAGACGGTGATTTTGTTAAATATTCTCAAGGTTTTAAAGTTTTTTTTTGTTATTTTTGAAGTTAAGATTTTACAAATCAATAGCCTTATGCCGAATTTCCACTAGACATTGAAATGACAACAAATTGCAGACATTTAAAAAATGGTATGTGCTTAATGACTATTTTTCAAAAGTAATGTCAGGAATATTTTTTAATGCACAAGGTTGTCATAAAAATTTCTGTCATTTAATTCCTAACGGAAATCCATCATTATTCATAAATAAGTAATTTTTAAGCAAAATACCCTACTGAATTCAATTCTCATTTAAACATTTTAGCTTATCGTTAATTTCTTTCTGATTCAATGATCGGATTTAAAACAAATCAGAAATTGGACCACCTGTGAGGTAACAACTTTCCTCTAAAAAAAGAATTATACAAATTGGTTAACGTGGTACAAAGTTAGGCACATACATAAAATAAAAATCCGAAATTGATAACCTTCTCCTTTTTGTGAAGTCGGTTATAAAATAAAGTAGCTTTACATTAGGTCTAAAATTGCAAAAATACCAAAACCAAATATACATCTCATTTTACTTGGTATCTGAATCGCATCTTAAATATACTATGTTTCCATGGGCAACATTAATGGCTCTCTTTTTTACTATTTTAATTTCCTTAAACACCAATGGCCTTTTGCTAGTTTTTCCACTATTTTTCCTTCTGTTTTACTTTGTTCTATTCTACTTTGCTTTTATAGATGATTTCGATAAATTGTCAATAAAAATTACAGGAGATAATGATTAGCTCGTAAAACGCATGCTAAGTGATACCTACGATTAAGATACATAATTCGTTCACAACATTCTTTCTAGCCAAAAGTTACGATTGGAGAGTCGATAACGAATAGCAACGCGAATCGCGAATTGCAATCGAATGACAATTGAACCTGACGTGAAAACATATTATTACACTTTTTGAAGCTTTCGCTTTCAATCATTTTCAAATACATATCTCTGGCGTGACTCAATTTACGCACATTCAGCAATTAAGTTTAAACTTTTCTGCTAAAAATTACAGTTTTCTTCCGAGTGTGATTTAACTTTCAGCTAGAAAAAAAAACATCTAACGTAAAGATTTATTTAGCAACTAATCAAAATATTATCTTTTGGATCATGCCGCTAAACATCTAAGAACATAAACATACATTTAAAGAAAAATAGAGTCTGGCAAATAAAAAAATAAAAAGAAAAGCAGAAATTCGAAAAAAAAAATTAAATTATAATATTCTAAGAAATATGTATGTACTAATGTGGTGTTTTCGTTTCTTCCAATAAATGTTGGTCTTCCATGATGCAAAATATGTTTGCTCAACTCTGTAGAAGTGCTTATTTTTGCCTTTCGTGTCCTTGTCCATACGATTTTCAGAGTAATCATCTCGCCTAACAAAGCTTTAAAGGGCAAAAAATGTGCCTTGTCTTGCTAGAGAGAGAAATTTTAAGAAACGAAAACAAGATTTTCTCACCGATTTGCCTTTATTTTTAGAATCGAACACGAAAAGAGAAAGGCGACATTTTTTGATAGAAACGAAAACACCATAATCCTTATTTAAAAACATTTGGCTCTAAGTTACGCATTCAAAAAAAAAGGATTCTTAAGCCTACGAGGAGTAGGAAATGGCACAAGCATATGGCGCAGGCAAAAATTTAATTTCATTTCTTTGATGCTATTGGCGTTAAGCGTTCCGAATTCGTTCGCATAAACAATATTTTTTTCTCCAATTTAACTACTAATTAACACTTAAAAGGAATACCAATTATGAATTCATTACATATTCATGCGCACTAAATTTTGTGTTGCCAATTAAAAATTTTATAACATTCCCATAGCCAAGAGCGGGGAAATTTTCCAATTCATTTGAATTGAACAAATATGGAAGTGTGTAAAGCAAAGCACAACATTAACTGAAACACCAAAATCGAATAAAAAAAAAAGAAATTTCGCTTGCAACTCATTTTCACAACACGCCACCAAACCGCCAAGGATAAGGTTGATCGAGGTTGGATATGTGATAGATAACTTTAGATAGAGAGATGAGTAGAAAACGGTATTTGGTGACGTGCGTGTTTCGTTAAGCGCACTCAATTTTGCTCGTACCATTAGCATCATAGGCGACTTCAGTGGGACGCGGTCCCCAGCGGCCAGCCTTAACGGGAGTGGGACTTGGTGAGCCGGCACGCTCAAAAGGTCTCGATGCAACAGCATTTGCTAACTTACTATCAAAGAGTTCATCCAATGGTTCCAACGAGCTGGCACGGAACAATGGCCTGGGAGCCAAGCTGCGTGCACGATCGAACAAGGATGGCGCCAAGCTGCGTGCCCGTTCGAAGGCGGAGGGTGCGCGTGAAGCGCGCGACACACTCGGTTCACGGTATACTGGTGGTGGCACATAGGGTTCACTGCCAGCACGAATCCAACGGCCAGGACGTGATGGTGATGGTGAGCGACGAGCTGTAAAGAGAGTAAGGAAATAAAGAGAACACACGCAACAGGCGTGAGGAGAATTGTAATTAGAAACATTTTTTATGTTTGATCGAGTTGTTATACATACATACATACATAATTAATAAATATTTTACGCACTTAATGGGTCTAGAGAGTTGCTAAGCTATTTTAAATCATGAATATATCTATGGCTAAGTAGAAGATCGACCTCTCTCAGCAGCCAGTTTAAAAACGCTCTATCTCAGAAAACTTTTCAAAAACACCCTATCTTAGAATTGAAAATATGATGACATAGGGCGTTTTTGAATGGGCAGCTGGGATAGAGCGTTCCTCAAACAAATTCCGAAGTATGGCGTTCTTAAAAATTTTCTGAGATAGAGCGTTTTTGAACCGGCTGCCGGGAGAGGTCGATCTTCCACTCAGCCGTCGATATATAAGTATAGGTAGCACTTTGCTGCAAATTATTCAGTCCGAACAGCAGCGGTGTACACACGTCGGAATGACTCAATGACTAGTTTTATAACTTGGCCGCTCAAAAACCTGCCGCTTTGCGTGGGAATGTAGCAGCTGGACTATTTTTGAGAACAAATTTTTTTAGTTCCGAACTATTATTGGGCCCGGTAGATGGCGCTAGAGTTAAAATGCTTGGAAAATTGGTATTTACGATGTTATTCGGTCAACATACAAAACATAATTCTGTTTGGTTATTTTTTAGATTTAATATTTTATTCATACGAAAACTGACTCGCTAGATGGCGCTGAAGTCACATTTATGGTCCGATTTTACTCAATAGGTGGTGCTGTTTCTTTTGACCAATGGTCAAAAAAATTTCATATGAAGTTTTGTTTTAAGAACATTCATAAAATATAGCAAATTGGTACAAAATTTTACTTTTTTATTATGTGTAAAGCCGATTGGCGTTTAAATAAATAAAAAAATAAAAAAAAATAAATAAAAGTGTAGCTAATATGCATTAGGGTAGTCCTTAAAATATAAAAATTATGGGGCACGCCTTTATTTTGCTCTACGTACAAATTAAACACACCAAGAAAAATTCTAAATTTTTAACAAATTTTTAGTAGTCCCTACTATGGCTTGAAAAAATCGTAAAAATTCGACAAAATTTTGACTAGATGTCTGATAGATTTGAGATATTATTGAGACTTATTCATATAAATTCATAAAGCCGCTGAGTTATAGCTGGTCGAGGTGAAAATTTTGACGAGCTTTCGCGATTTAAAAAAAACATACAAATTTTTTCAAGTTTTACCTAAAATTGGAAATGTTTGTGGATGCCTTTGTTTTGTACGGGATATTTTTAAGGCCCACCCTAATGTGCATGAAATGTTTCTGAAGATATGTAAGTGGGTTGGTTAATTAAAATTCTTAGAGCCCGAATATTTATATGGAGAACTTGCGCAGTTTCACTTTTTCGAAATCCCAAAAGAAAATTCTGAAATTTAATTTACATCGAAAATGTATTTCAACGATTGCAACACTAGTCGGCTACGGCGGCCATGGTTAGGTTGAAATGGCAGCTGAGCTGAGAGGAAAGTCAGCCCACCTAGGTGCTATGAAGGGACGACTGGATATTGAAACTCTACCCAACAATTGCAGCAGTACTCGGCCACGGCAGCGGCGACCAATTCGTAGAATCTACGATCCTTAACAGCTACCGTATTCTAAACTTTACAAGAGCGCTTAGATAATCTAAAAAACTTATACCCAGGAATTTCTGTCTTTTCTTGCGTAAAGAAAGGCAATTGTAGAGTAAATGCCTCATTGTTTCATTGCTTACAAACTTGGCTGCGGTTTCATTTCCTATAATATTCTCATACACATACAACGGTACTTTTAGTAGATTAACTTAGAGTGCGTTCACAAAGAATGCCGAGAGACGCCGAGCGAAGCAAGGAAGGGCGGAGCGGAGCTGCTGCTGTTCGCACTGAACGGAGCGGAGCGCCGCTTTTTGAATCGAATCGGCCGTAGAGATATCACAAAACCGACCTTCAATGCAAAGCGGCTAAAATGTTTGTTCAACTTGTTTCAATTGCTTTACCGAAAAATAGTTTTTAGTTTAATTATTTTGAGTTTTTGTTCGCATCGGAGATGAAGCTGTAAAATCAAAATTTAAATGCTTTGCTTTCAGCTCAAAAACGCTTGTGGAAAGGTTTGCTTTATGAATATAAACCTACATTAATTTGAAATCTCGCAACGGTTCCGCTCAGCTCCGTCCCGCTTCCTGTGTGAACACTGCCTTAGGCATGAATACATATCGACGGTACATTCGCAAAATCTCGTATCTCAAAAAAAAAAAAAAAACTCCCAAACAAAACTCTCTAACAAAAACAACTCTCTATCAATAACAGAAAATCTTTTATAATAACTTTTTACTGAGTATTAAAGATTAAGTACTTTTTAGTTAATTAAGAATAATATATAATTTTATATTACGATATACGCAGTATAAGTGATTTCTGAGATACGAGGCTACTTTAATGGCAACTCATCGACCATATTCTATTGCTTTTGTTTACTGAGATGGAAAGATCAAATGGTGTGTAATTTTTTGGGTTCGGAACGGAAGAGACTTTAAACTTTAAACTGGGAGACGTCGATTATTTTGTACTTGAGATAAAAACGTTTTCTAATTTTTGTACGCCCTCTGAATAATTCCATACTTAAAGCGTCAATAGTTGGTGTTTTCATATCTCTAAGACATTTTTCATACTTGGATACCCGAAATATTTCCAGTGGGCCGGTAACTGCAGACTTTTCTGAATAAGTAGCAATTTGTAGCAGCAGACTTATACTAGAGCTGGAAAACTATCGATCGCACTATCGATAGTATCGATGGTTTTCCTTTTATATAAATATGTAAATAAAGCGAAAAAAGTTCACATAAAAGTGCAACTGTAAACTTAATTACCCATTGAAAAACTGAACGATACTATCGATGGTGCATAACATAAACCATCGAGTGGGAACACTATCGATAGTTTTCTAGCTCTAACTTGTACATCTAGAGGCCTGCGCAAACAGGGGTACGGTACATGGCGGTATAATCCCGTACGATACGCGGTAACGATATACTCAAAGACACTCAAACAGAAACAGTGTTGCCATGCGAAGAGCGACGAGGTCGGGGCTCCAATCCTAATATCCGTTCACGGATCGAAAACGAAAGAAAATTACGTGATATGTCAGAAAGTATAAGCTCAATTGGACAAAGAGTACGTTCACGTATGTCATAATCCGAAAAAAGTGTTTTTACGAGACGAGTGGTACAATATCGTATGTGATGATTCGAGCCCTGGTTAGTGGCACTATACGCTGTTTTGTAACGCATTCGTCTCTCTAAATTTATATTTATTTTTTATTTAATGACATTTTTTCAACTTTAATTTGAAGTTTTTATTAATATTAGTCCAGTATGATTAATTTATTAATCTAATGTGGTAGAACTCTAGCTCTTAACTGCAACTCTGCTTACCATATATCTGCTTATACCGCGCGGTCAACTGTGCACGCTGCGGTATAGTTATGTACCGCTTTGTACCGCACTTTCAATACAGCGCCTGTTTGAGTGCTCCCATATACCGCCATGGTATTTGAAACCGCACCTGTTTGAGCAGGCCTTAATGGTACTCCCAGTGAAAGAAAATTATTTTTCGCCGAATGCAATGGCTTTTGCTTCATTACTGTCGTGCACAGACCCATTAAATCTTCAAAATACGTTCTTTTCGAGATAATTTGTAATTAACACACACAATCAAAATATTTTAAATTTATGCAGGGCCTTATTGGCCAACATAAATGTAGATTTTATCTCTTACGATCGTTCGAAGATTTCAGCACCATCTTATTATGTCTAAGGCCAGCACGGTGATGGTAACTCGGATAGTGACAAAACTTCAAAAACAACGGCGTTTTCGAATTTGTGTAGCGGATTGTTGCAGTACTAGCCTCAGTTACCCAAGTCAAGGTATGGTTTTGTGCAGTAGTACAAAAAATAAAAGAAAGATAAAAACTACTGTTTTCTGGGATTTAGAAGGTCCGTTATGTATGTAAAAAAGTTGTCGATTTTATGGTCACATTTAAAAGAAGAAGAAAACTAAATGAAACCCAGAAAGGAAAAAAGGAGATAAGAGTGCTGACGATGTACGACAGTACATTTGTTCACAACAATTATTACGTTATGGCTCGTGAACATTTACCCCAATCAATTTTGTTAAGCTTTGAGGAACTTACTTCGGATCTGCGCGGAATTATCTTCCAAAGTGGGTGATCGCAAAAGGCGAAACCCTCATCCAAGGCGGGTAACAGGACTCGTAAAAAGTAAGACAACGTGACGAGTAACTGTTCTTGTTATTTTATATTTTTCTGCCGAACCTTGGGGTCCCTTTTAAAATAATTCGGTGAAACCTATGTATGTACATTCGGCAATTAAACTTGTTTTTTATATTTCTACCCGAATAATCAGCATACTTCCTTACCATAAGTCTAATGTTTTTGGCGAGCTTTAATTTACTGACATTATGGTGGGGATAGGAACTGAGATCTAGTGGGTAAGTACTATATGGGAAGACTTAAGGTAAATATTTAAACTTTGGAACCAAAACGTTTTTTCTCGAGGTAAGAACATCGACATATCACATTTTAAGATCCAGTCGGCAAAAAAATCGAAATTTCTTTCGAATAGAAATAGTTCCGTAGCAAAAGTTTAATAAAATAAAAACTTGCTGAAGTCAAATTTTTGTCATATATATGCGATTTAAACAAATTTTAAATATTTCAAACCCTGGTAACGACCCGTAAACCCCGACGTTGAAGTAAATAAAACGGCGCCTAATGAAAAATTTAGATTCTGAAATTTTAAGGAACGCCCTAATATGCATATCTTAATTTCTTAAAGTTCTATACTTGTAGACAATATTGTACTAAAGCCGTACTTAATATTCATAAATAAGTGTTCGGGTTTGTACTTACCGTTATTTCAAAATACACAACTCTTTGCAAAAGGGCCAAAATTACTCCCCTACATTCCATTCTCAAACCAATACTTATTAAACAAATAAAAATTAAAATCTCTGACAAAATAAATAACCTGACAATCACAAAGACTGTACACACGAAACAATACACAAAACAAAACAAAAACAAATAACACTTATATTACAAATAAGGGCATTTGTGGCTTAGCGCGAAGACCAACTGAACGCCGGACTTGGGTCGTCGGTGCAGGCCAAAGCTCAAAAGTCTCGAGTGCAATGAATTGCGAAAATCAATATCGTAGCGATATTGAAATGTCAACGCGTTGTTTGGCAGGAATTGTAACAGAAATCCGACAGTTGGGAAAAATTGCAGATGAGTACTATATTAAATATATTTGAGTAAAGGCAGCAGAAGGGGGAAAATTTGAAACTGCCAATTGTGGAAAAGAAGAAAAAAGTGTTACGCATAACTGCCAAGTTAATAAGAGCGCGTAGACTGCGTAAATAGGTTTGGAAGAATGGAACAAAAATAGCTGTCACTTGGGTTGTAAAAGTAGGCGGGCCATTACCCAGCCACACAAGCTGCGCAATCAGCAGAGAAGTAGGGCGATAAAAAAATTTAAATTTGTGTGATTGAAAGTTACAAAGTTGGGGAAGTGCAAAGCTCAGTAATTATGGCTTACGTTGTTTTGATATTCGAAGTTTTGTGCTAACAATATTTTTTTTTTTTTTTGGTACATAAATTTAACATTTCACAACAAATAACGAAACACATTTAACAATTTTTTACGCTTCAATGCATTTGCGCAATATTTTTACAATAAATAAACTACTTTATTATTTGGTTGGGTTTTTCGTTAAATATTTCATTTTCTGTTTTTAAGGTTTATACGATTTTTTAAATGGTGAATAAATATTTGTAATTTGTTTGCGTTTTTCTTCTTTTTTTTTTGGTATTAGAGTTTTTTATTTGTTTGGCAGTATTTACAGGCGAATGCACAATGCATGATTTTGTGTATTGATTTGCGCATTAATTTCGATTTTATTTCGAATTTGATAAGTTTATTTAGTTGAGTTAAGGAATGTACAAGGAGGACGAAGAACGAGTAACACAAACTGTACAGAAAATTTTCAAAAAAAGAGATAGATGAAACTATACAACAAATGAAAAGTAAGTAAAGTAAAACGAAAAATGAACTATGAAAGTAAGTTAAATAAAAATGAAAAGTTTTAACATAAATACAAATCATAAATATTAGTAAATGAAAAAGTTTGTAAAAATTAAAAAAAAATTAAAAAACTTAAAATTATGGTAAAAAAATATGAATTAAAACAAAATTTTATTGGAAAAAAATCAACCCTCTACAGGTAAAGTGAAGTTCAAAATCCAAAATCCGTGTCACTTGACGGTGAGGATAAAAGAAAACAAGAGTTTTTTTTTAATATTTTCTTGTTAAATTAATGATTTATTTTGCTTTGCATTATTTCTATGATATTTTTTATTATTAATATTTTTTATGTAAGAGTATTGCTAGTATTTTTAACGTACTAAATAGTTTTTTCATGTCTTATTTCGTATGACTTTTTCTTCTCTCTTTTCGTGTTATTTTTGAATGAAATTTTAGTTTTAATGAACTCTTATGTTAGTAAGTTAGGTTATAGCAATGCTGACATATAGAAATATAATTCCATTTGTCAATGTTATTGTCGCTTGTTAACATTTTATTTTTAATATTTTTATTGAGCTTTGTACCACGATTGTTTATTAGGAAAAATTGTTGCTTTTTCAATTTTTCCTAAAAAACAATCGTGGTACAAAGCTCAATAAAAATATTAAATATAATTATACACACCAGCTATTTCCCTCTTAACTCAATCTCTTCTGCTTGCCTCGCCTTTTCAAAGCTTTCGTTGGATTTTATGTGAAAGCATATAGTGTTAAAGCTCTCTTTAATTTGCCCGCACGCAAAGCTTTTTTAAGCTTCCATATATCTTTTTATCTTACTCTTAAAAGCTCTCTATGTGCTTTACTGATTTAAGTGAATGAAAAAGGAATCAAAACTAAGCTTAAAAATCTCGGCTTACCGGCCAAGTTTAGTGGTGACTGATTTCAATCAGAGACAAGGAGCTTTTTTAAACTTATTTACATATATTCCATGTGCATTAGTAAAGCTCTTTCTGCGCTACTCTAACTTAAATATCTAGAAGTCTATGGAAGCTGTTCTTAAACCTTCTTTGTTGGAAAAAGCTGGAGACATAATGAATATTCCATGAATAGTAAGCTTATTATTTTCTTTCTATTTAAATAAAGTTGTTTTAAAAGCTCACAAAGTATTTACTTAACAATAATTCTTGAAAGCTTTATTCTCTACGAATTGACGACTAGAAAACATCGAATAGTTATATGTATTTATCTTGCAAAAGGTTAAATCTACTTCAGGCATTGCTATTTTCCCCTTTAAATAATATTGTCTAGTAATATAGGCTTTAAGAAATCGCTCAAAGGCACTGTTTTCTAAACTCTATATATTGTTTATGTCTCCCTAGCAACTGTTGTTAATGTTATTATGTAAGTAGCTTATAATTAATAATAGTTTAGTAACGATAATGAATTTATGTATGACAGTTTGAATTGAGGGCTTCAAGAGAACACTGATGAGAGTGTGGAATCCCCATATAAAGCTCGATATAAAGCCACAAAAAGAGCTTAAGAAATGCATTACTGGATAACTGATAGAACAAAAAGTTTATAGCAGTAATGGAAAAAGAAGGATAGAGCTTTTACTCATTGAATGTCTATTAAGCATAGAAAGCTCAATAAAGCTCTGCCTTTGGCCAACCAACGATTTAAAGCACAGCTGATTATCCGTGCCCAGTTTTCGTAAGCTTTCTTTAGGCTATATTTCTGCCACAGAACACTTAGAACCGCGCTCGGATCAACACTATTATAAAATTTAAAGTATTTAAGCTTATAAAGCTCGAATAGGAATCACATTGGAACTATTTGATATACAAAATTGTATTGTGTTAGAACAAAATGAGCTTTGCAGCTTCTTTTTAGTTGGCTAAACGTTATAAAAGCTTTAACAATGTAAACGGCAAGCTAAGAGAGCTTTTATACTGTGCTCGCGCATTATAAGGCTTCGACAAACTCCGCCCGTGCTTTATGCATTGGTGTTAACTGGTATAGAGGGGCTTATGATGAAAGCTCTCTCAGGGTTTTAAAGTTTTTTTTAGCTTTTAATGATTGATTGAAAGCACGTAAAGCTAGTTGGTCCTTTTTGAAAGAGCAAACTTTTAAGCTTCAACTACCGAAAGCTCTTTCTAGCAGATTGTGCATAAATCCTATTAGCTGCTCGCGCTATTTCTCTCTTTTTTAGCTTTTTTTACAATTATTTATGTATTTCTCTTGAAGCCCAGCATTCAGAATTAATGTATACTGTTACTGTATTTAGTTGTTGTTATTTTGATTAATATGTATTAATCTTTATTTAGAATTCATTGAATAAAAACGACTTATTTCTTGTGTGTTTTCTAATTTTTGTTTAAAATTGTAATGAAGCTTTTAATCAGTTTTTTCTCTCTTCCTTCTGCAACATAGCTATGTAAATAACTAAATGTAAGATAAGAATTTATTTATTTATTTTTGTTCAGTATTTATTCTTTAAAATTAAAAGTAAACATATTTTATGTGACGTTAAATACAATGAAACATTTAACGAATTTGTGCTCTATTCTGCGATTCTCGCATTTCATTTACTTTCATTTGCTTTTGCTTCTTCACTCAACTCTAGTTTTAAGCTCCTTGGTTTCAACAAGTGTTTTTTTTTTGTTTTTGTTCTACTAACTTACTTTATATGTTTGTATATGTTTATTAAGAGATATGTGTATATGTATTTGTTATCTCAACATTTACAGGCAGAAAAAGGTTTTCCTTTTTTTTTTGCCATAAATACTTTAAATTAAAATTGTTTTTACGTGTTGGCATTTAGTAGCATTTCTATAAACGAACTTTTGTGCAGTTGTGTAGATTTGCTAGCAAACAATGGCTATTTGCTCAAATTTTTCGTGCTGCAAATATATTCAAAAACAAAAAAAACATACATATTTTATGAAAAAATCCATTTGCAAAAATTCGATGTGTATTAGGCGGCAAAAGTGACATTTACAAAACACAAATATGTACACGAAACGCCAATTGGTAGTGGTTTTAAGTTGTGTGTTTTGTTGGCTGCTGTCCGCTCACTCGACACAAAAATTTTCCATATAAAAATTTCGCAATATTTTCATACAAACATATCTCTAATAAGAACTTTCCAATTTTAGTTGAGTGAGCTAACATTTTTTTTGTAAGATGTTAAATATACATTTGTATAGTTTATTGTTTGGTGAATTTGAAAAAATTCTCTTCATTGTGGAGGATATGCTATTTTTTTGCTGTTTTTGTTTTTCACTAAAAAATTTCTTGCTCGTGTTTACAATGCTTGTAATTATCTATCAATTCTTCGTTTTTTCCTTCTTTGCATATTTTTTTCTTTTCTTTTTCTTTGTTCGGTTTACTTAGAAATTTTTTTACATTTACTGTTGTGTATTTTGTTACGCTTTGTTGTCGTTGTTATTTTAGTAGAGTATTTATTTTTGTTGTTGATTTTTTTTTTGTTTGATTTTTATTTTTACTTAAAATTTAGAATTCCTTACCCTTGTTGAGTTCTTGGAGCAGCTTATCTTCTGGCTCGTATTCCAAGGGCACCAAAGCGTTTGGTGTGTATGGCTTGTCCTTCAGGTAGAGACCATAACGAGATGGGTATCTAGAGAAAAGATTTAGTTGAGGTTATTTAACTATGCATTTTGGTAGCGATTTATGGTTATAAATATAAGCATAATCGGCGCGTTCTTTTAAAATTTGAATCATCTTTAAGTACTTTGCTTTTGTTTATTTGCAATCCATTGTGTAGGGAAATATACAATCGGATTGGGCTGCAAGTGCAACAGATTAAAATCTGTAGGAAGAATCAAACGATCCTTAGGAATATGGAAAACCATCAAAAACTAAGGGAATATTCCCCACCTATTATGAATAATCTCGGGCTTGTGTAAATACCAGGAGCCCAGGAGACCAGGTGCTCAAAAAATGACCTGCTGGGTAAAACAGAAAATATACGCAGAAATGGCGTTGGTACTGTCTAGTTCCCTGCAGCAGTGTTTTATGAAAAGTCCCAACATTTTAATTGAATGAAGATTTTCTTCGCTGATTTTTAAGAAATAATGGTTTTGGGAAAAAATCGTACTAATGGTTCAATATAAATTTCTGGAAGCTTTTTATGAGCTGACCTAATGCAACCTTAACCTGGTGACTAAATAGGCAGTTAAAAGCGGCTCTGGCTTTTAATGGGGTAAGTATGACCTTAAATCACATCTGAGGTGGAATCTCGTCAACAATTTATTCTATGCCGAATCTAAGACTGAAATATCTTGACTTGCGAATTCTTCTTCAATCGCAATTCTCGGGTATAAATAATAGCAATCGTATATTCGTGGTCACCGTTTACAATTGCGTAATATCACAACCTTAATTTGACCTCACTTATGTCCAAATACATATAACCCCAACCGGGAACAACCGCCTAGTCTGACTTAGAAAAAATTATTCAGAGCTCTTCTATTCTGATTTTTTTTTACCCCAAAAAGTTCTTGGAATAGATATTATTTTAGTAAAGGGTCATGGAGTCGCGAGAAATTTTAAACATAGAAGTGTTCAAGTGTTTTAAATTTTATTCTCACTCACCTGCGTTCAATTTCTTGCATGCGCTTCAAGTGATCATTCCAAGCCCTCTCTGCGTCGTAGTTGGCTGGAACTAGAACCACAAGAAGGTATTGAATTAATATAAAAAAATATTTAAAAAAATAAAAAAATTGCAAATCTAAGAAGTATAGCTTACAGTGAAGATAATAAAGCATTTAGGCTCAAAAATTCGAAAGTAGGCAATTTCCAAAGCAATACATACGATATACAAAAAGCAGAGAAGCGTTTGCGGTATTGAAGAAGCATTAAAAAGCGCCGAGATTTATGGTAATAAAAGAAAAAATATATAAAGAATGTTTAGGTTAATTTGCTGTTTTTTCGAAAAAGCTAATATATGATTATGATGTTATATATAAAATAAAAGTTAAAAAACTGTAATTGAAATTACTTGAGAAATCGCAAATTCAAATAAAAAAAAATTAAAAAAAACTATTACAAATTTAAATGAAATAAAATAAAATCACAAAATATTTTGAATAAAATAAGAAATTTAAAAATTATCGCAATAAAATTAAAAAATAAAAGCAAAATAAAAAATTATTATAATAATAGCAAACTAAAAAAAATATCCAAATAAAATTAAAAGTTATTACAAGATTAAACTAAAATAAAACAAAAATAATTTCATTAAAGATTAAAAAATTATTGAAATAAAATTAAATTTTAAATAAAACATTACAAAAATTAAGGAAAATAAAATAACTAAACAGTTAAACTAAATTAATTAATAAGGTAGGCAGGAGGAAATTAGGAGTGGTTGCCACCAGGGGCAGCACAATAAAAATAAAATAAAGTAAAATAAATAAAAAACACTAACAAAATAAAATTATTTTATTATTATATTTATACATATATCAACGTTTATAATTTAAACATAATAAAATAAAATAAATAAAAATATAGAATTAAATAGAATAAATAAACAAAAATAAGACAAAATAAAATTTGAAGGAAATAAAAGAAAATAAAATGAAACAAAATAAAATGAAATCAGATAAAATTAAAAAATGAAATGAAATCAAATAAACATAGATTAATCTAATTTCCGTAAAATTAAATTTAATTAAATTTAACAAAAAGAAATAAATTCAAATAAGATTAAAAAACAAAAAATAAACAAAATTAAATATAATTAAATAAAATTAAAAAAATATTAAATTTTAATAAAATAAAAATTAAAAAATAAAATAAAATTAAATAAAAAAATATAAAATTAAATAATTTAAAGTGGATAAATCGCTTCAGATTTCATTTGTTAGTTTTATAAATGTAATTTTTGATTAAATTTTGTATTATAATGTTTGCTACTATCGCCGAAATTGGCCACACAGATGTGGGCATAACATGAACAAGTAAAAAGTTGTTCGAATTGCAAATGAAACAAAAATGTTGGTATGCAGGTACATAAATGCGAAAAGTTGTATGAAGCTGAATGCATGAATATGGGTATGCATGAATAACTATTGGTCGTATAAACGGATTTCAAACGGCTCAAAATTTTAACGAACTTTTTGAAAAACAAGATACAATTTCAGCAAACAATTAGTCTTTTTCATTAATTTATATAAATCGAGGTTTCGCAAATCAAAATGAAATTTCAGAGAATACCTTTATCAGGAAAAGGGGCCAACGTATAACAAAAATAACAACAATAGTTATGTACTTTTTCAGTACAAAAAACCAATTTATTTTGTAAACATTTAAAAAAAAATTTATCAGTACCTGTACGCAGTGCAAACTCGCTGTAGTAGCCTGCTGTCTGCTTAGCAGCTGCTGTTGCAGTAGAAATTTGCTGAATCTAAAGTATGTATTCGTGTTTAAGTACATACTAAGTACGCACATATGTATGTCCGTCTACTAATACTCAATGAAAAACTAATAAAAACTAACTAGTGTAACTATTTAACTTTTGCATGCAACACTTTATTAAGAACAATAAAACAATTAACCGTTAAACATTTAAAATTATGAATTGATCAACTAACAAACACGATTATGAATTTCAAAAATTATTTATTTCAAATCCCCGTTATACACATTTATTCAGCGGTTTCAAATACACAAAATTGTATACAAAAACGAGTAGGAACATGTATCTATGTATGTACATATATATTTGAGATATTTTTCATGAACCGATCTGCTGTTTGTGCCTTAATACACCAGCACCAGTTGTGAAGATATTTGAACAAAATAATTAAAGTTAATACTTAGTTAAACCGGTTATTCGAAAGAAATCTCTCAAGAGATTACACGAAAGAAATTCTTTTTAAATTTTAATTTTAATTTTTTTCTTGAGCTGCGAGAATACATTTATACGGGCTCTGGGGTTTTGTGTTTTTTGTGGAGAAAATATGTAAAGAATAAAAATAAGAAACATCTTGTTACTTTTTTTTTGTGCAAAATTTCATTGTCCAATAAAAAGCCTGAATTGGGAAAAAATGTAAGGCAAAATATTGTAGGGGTGTTTTGACGATTTAAAGGCAAGTACGACTGGGATTATATTTTGCTTTGTTTCGTTCTTAAAACATACAAATAAATCGGTTTTAAATGTTCATTTACCGTTTGTCGTTTAAAACAATTGGGTCTACAAAAATCTCCAAAAAAGTGGTCGGAGACTAGCCTGACAGGCTTTTAAGGAGCCCTAAACTTACTATTCACTTTAGTGAGTTTTATTATATGACATTTGAGAAGTACATACGCATAAATTTCATAAAGGGACATTTTCACACAAGCAGCACACTCCTCAGCTGAAAAAAACTTTATAAATTTCAAAATTACCTAACTGTGGAACCGAGCTTGAGCTTTAGCCTTGGAAAAAATTAACCGTAGTAGTTTGAAATAGTAGTAGTTTGAAATTCTGAAAACAAAATTTCCCTGTTGAAAAAAAAGGTATTCGAGCGAACTGAATGGTATTTTAAGGGACAGAAAATATACTTTGTAATGCCAAATAACCCAGTAAAAAGGCCAAACCGAAATTTTTCGCATTTTTAGGTAAGAATATTTAAGGAACCTGATGTGATAGAGCAATTCTGAGCTAAGGGCTAAGTGCTTTTTCTCAAATTTGTGGCGTTTTTTGAGAAGCTTTTTACGGGAGTGTGATTATGCGGACAGAAGACCCGATCATCTTTCTATCCTTTAGCTATGCCGCCGACCGCACACCTGCTAAGTGGTAGTATGTATATGTGCCTTTTACCACCAACCTGGCAAGGACTGCTTTGGAAAATTTTATTTTGTTGTAAGCTCTTTATAAAAGGTCATGTTAAAAAAGTATAACATCCATCAAAAGGCTTACTTAATCATGTGCACACATTTTAAATTAAGCGCACACAAATCTACTCTTTTCAAACAGAAGCGAGGCTACTTTTTTATTTTCCTGTAGAGATAAGACGCAGCATCAGCATGTGGATGATATTTATGTACATAAATACACTAGGCGACAGATGAAAGTATACACCTTGTTCTAATGTAATATTCACAATTATTTTCATGAAAAAATTTTTGCATGAATTAGTTATAAATATGTAGTTCATTCTATAATATAAACCATATAAATCAAAGTTTCACACTTTTACAATTTTAGTCTAATGAAATGGAAGTTTCAACCGGCTACAAAATCGCGTTCATTTTTGAGATTTTTTTTTTTAGACTGCTTTTGCGTTTTTTATATATAACTAGTGCAATTTATAAAAACTGGCGTTGATTTTTTGAATTTTGTTGTCAACGGCCTCCCGTATTTTATTTCATAAGAAATTCGTGCTTATATGGAAAAAAGTGGGAAAGAAATTTCTCACAAAAAAAAATCTCAAATATCAACGAGATTTTTTTGCCGTTTGAAACTTGCACTTCATTAGAGTAAAATTGAATGGGCTACAAAAATGCATACTCGAGAATTTTCTAGAAATTCTGAGTAAAAGGTTGAAAATTTTTAGTATTTTTTGTAATCTATATATAAAGTGTGAATTTTTGATTTATATGGTTTATATTATAGAATGAACTATATTTTTATAAGTAATTAATACAAACAATTTTTCATGAAAATAATTGTAAATATTATATTAAAACAATGTTTCAGGGTTTACACTTTCATTTGTCGCCTGGTGTATGTGCATGTATGGGCATTCAAATTTAGTATTTAGTATACTAAAACATATACAACACATCCACAACATAAATATTATTGGCAAAAGAAGCAAGCGTAGGCGTGTGTACGCCTGCTGCCGGTTATTTGATATCAAAAATGAAGAAGAAATTTTGCCAAGAGCCATGAAAAAAAGGCTTACATATACATACATACATACTTGCTAAGTATGCACTTATATAAAGTGATGCTTGTGTATGACAGATAAAAAAAAATTGTTTGTGTGTTTCACAAACATACATATGTGTATATACAACTGATATATGTAGATACATATGTGTTAAATATTAGAGAAAAATTAGCTACATCGTAGTGATGATCATGGAAAATGGCTGCTGCTCTTCATTATTCTTCGTTGTGGGCATTTGAAGGCGTAGGTTTATATATACTACATATTGAACTTGCTTGGTAAAAAAAAGCTTAATGCCAGAGCAGGAACAATAATCAAATAGACTGCATATCGAGAAAATTAAAATGAACTAGAAAATTTTTGAAATGAATAATTCAAGAAGGGCAAAGTTCCTTTTTACTCATAAAAATTGCAATAGATTATGCTTTCTCCGAAAAAACCATGCAATTCATAATAATCCCCATTATCGTGGCTACGCAGTGCCTAAAAATGCAACATTCTCAATGGTTGAGTAATATTTGCTCTTTAAACTGAAAGACAAAAAAAAAACACAAAAAGCACACACACACCCACATACGCTTACACTACATTGACGTAATTTGCTATTGATGCTATTTTTATAAAAATTAAATCATTTGGAAACGACGAATAGCCGATTGTGAATTGACTTCCTTTGGCTGCGCGCAAAACTCGCCTGTGACTGTATTTTTGTTTTCTTTTAAAATTTTGCTATTTATTTAAATTTCCTAATTTTTATTTTTTTTTCCTTTTAATTTTTTTTTTTTTTTTTTTTTGTATTCGCGGTGGTAATGAAAAATGGTGATGCACATTGAACGAGTGAATGTTGCCAACTCGCAACACCTTTGTGAGGTGTTGCAAATATTTGTTGAATGACGCATATGCTGTGTCAATTTATGAACATACCACATACATTGATATATATGTATATATGTACATACATACGTTTCTATATAATATATCTATATATATGTATGTATGTACTTATACAAATATATTTATATATGTATTTTACCATTGACAATGCGCTGAACGATGAGTGGTTGAGCACTACAGTGGTAGCAAAAATTAAATGTACCTACAATTCTTATTTATTTTTTTTTAAATGACGCGGGTATGCTTGACATAGAGTGAATACTTATGGCAGTGAAAATTCGCACGAAATATACATATGTAATATGTACGATTAGGTATGCGCTGTGATGCAGCTGGGGAACTATGATTGCAGCAGTCTAAGAGTGCTATGAATTCGCCTATTCGACTTGCTGATGATGAGTAAATTGGCAATGAAAATTATTATTAATTACATATAATTATTTTTATTTTTAAAATAAGCATAAGAAAGGTGTTGAAATGTTTATTAATGTAAAACAGCAGCTGCTTTTGAACAGAAAATTTTGAAAATCAGCGATTTAGAGATGTGCAACTAAAAAAATATGGGACAATTTTTTTTTTCAATTTTACAATTCTAATTTTTCATAAAAATAATGATCTTATTAATAAAAAATAAAATAAATTTATAGAGCTTTATAAAGTGACATTTTTAGACAAATTTTCCATTTGTAAAACAGCTAAACTCTTTTTTTTTCGAATTTGGGTGTTAATCTGTATCGTTTACTTTTTTTTAAATCAATGAAGAAATGTTTAACAAAAACAGAATTCTTTAAAAATTCTCGTATATCTTTCATATATTTATCGATAAATTTTTGGTCGTTAAATCTTTGATTTTTGTGCAGAATTATTTTAAACTCTTTTATCGACTTTTATCTATTTTTTCTATTCATCGGTGCACTTTTATCTACTCATCGATTCATTTCTATTGCAATTCAAAGCTGTCGGTCAGTCAATTGGGGTCAGGTATGCAAATTTAAAGCTAAATATTTTTTAGAATATCGAAAAAAATTTAGAATAGTTGCTCGAAATACAAAATCTACATTCCGTGCACAAATAATGTAAGCTTTAGAAGAAAAAATTGTATCAAATAACATCGATAAAACTATTCTAAATTATCGATTATGGCCTACCGATAATTATGAACCGAGAAAATTTTTTTTGTAAAAAAAACTTTATAACAATTTCCTCATTATGAATTATCGATATCGATTTTTATGCTCGATTTACTATTTGACTCTTATGTATTTACGTATGGATTTCAACTCAATATGAAATGGTAATCTTAAAGTGATAGGAAAATTAAAAACTCAAAATTTTTTAAACTGTAGACAAATTTTTAGTTTAAATTATCAAAAAAATATGTCCGCATTTCGTGGGAAGGAAATGTTTGTCAAAAGAAAAATGTAAAACGTCCTTTAATCAACGAATATAATTATTAATAAAAGTAAGTATTATGCATGAGCCACTAAAAATAGTAGGTGAATTTATTTTTTTTAATTTTGTATTGTCTCGTTATTGCAGAGGACCATCGATATGTTTAAGTCTTAGTTTGTGATTTATTAAAAAAAAAGTTAATTTTACCAAACATAATAAAACGCAGTACTTTAACAATTTTAAGAAATCGATAACTTTACAACTATCGTATATTTAATTAAAAAAAAAAAAAAAATATCGTGTTTTTTTAATTAAATTTGTTAAAATCAACTTCGTTGAAAATTATTACATCAGTTTATTTTCCGATAATTTGTTTTAATAAACTGTGTCCTCTAATGCACATCCCTAACTGCTGATTTCTTTTTTCTTTTTTGTTTTGTTTTTTTTTTTTTTTGTGTGAACTGCTCGGGTCAACTTTCCCACAAACACTTACTTGTTCTGCTGTAATGATGATCATAGATGGCACGTGGCGAATAGCCATAAGTGTCTCTGCTCACAGGCAAGTATCTGTAGCCATGCGATTGCACACGCTCATTGGCAGTGGCTGGCGTATCGAAGATGCTCCTGTATGTGGCTGGTGAGTCCAAGTACGAGCTGTATGGGCGGCTGGCGCGTGGAGTCTCATGGGCACGGATATCTTCGGAACCTGTGGAAGAGGAAAAAAAAAACAACGACGAAGAGAAGTGATAAGATGTGGAGTCATAAAAAGATATAATGCCTGTTTACACTAGGAAAAAAATAAGAATCGTTGATTTTTATTTTGTATATACCGCTGCGTGCAATAATATAGCAGCAAAACTCAAAAATTATATTGTTAGCAACTTGTGTTTATTTATTAATTTCTAATAAATGACATTAAAAGTGTAGATCGATCTAAAACAGAAATAGAGCCTGCACAAATTTCACAAAAATTCTTCAAACTTCAGAAAGTTTTCGCTAAAAATTACCATTGATTTTTTAGAAATCTTTTTGGAGCAGGTATTGAGTATTTTCCTCGACAAAAAAAAAATCTAAAAAACCAACGGTAATTTTTAGTGACATGAAACTTGCAATTTATTATAGTAAATTTTAATGGGCTATGAAACTGCCCACTCAAAAATTTTCTTAAAATTCTTAATAATTAGTTCGAAATTTTTATGAAATTTTTTTTGAAATTTGATTGGTTGTTGTAAAATATTTGCAAGCTTTGAAACTTTTATTTATGTGATTTCTGTTATAAATCGAACTATATATATTTTAAAAGAAATTTATTATCTTAAATGATATATTTTGAATTGTGGTACTATTTGATTTCCCGCAGCTGTATGTATGCTTTGGTATTAATTAAAATGCATGTTGTTTTCAAAATTCTAAACTCCTACTTAAGGTGCTATTTTAAGTACGAAAATTCTCCCCTCAAACTTCCAAGCAACTCTAATTTTAGTCTCAATACTTCTTCTGCACATATAGCTATTCAGTATTCAGTATCCGCAAGCAGGTCAAGGTCCAACTATATTTATGCATAGAATACATATTTATTCATATCTGCCGCAAAATGCGCTGGAGGTCCACCAGGTATATAAATATCAATCTCATACAAATGCATATACGCAGCAACCCAAATTAATTGAGCTCAAAAAAATTTACGAAAAAATTAAATAAGCCATGAGAGCCCCAAATTTTCGTAGCACTAAAATCTCTTAAAATTAGAGATATAAAGCAAAACTCGCCAGCCATGTGAGTGCATCCTCTGCCTGCGGCATGCAAGTGCTGAGCATTATATCGCTCGCAGATTTAGCACTACTCTAGACATATTTTTTTGCATTTTATGTGCGCTTGTGCCTTGTGCATTTAGAAATTTTTGTTCAAATTGCAGTTGCCGATTTCTGTTTTTTTTTTTTGTTTTGGTTACATTAATGTAAAGTTCTTGGCTTATTTCTGCAACATTTAGCACGTAAAGTATTGACAATAAATTGGTTTGTATACTAAAATAAATTTCAATTTTCGTATCGGCAATTTTGCATTCCAGCGCGCCTACAGATTCCTTAATTTTTTTTTTGTCTCTCTCTCTCTCTCTCTCTCTGCCTGTTTATTCGCCACTTTTTCAATTTTGGCTATTGGCCAAATTTTTGTTGGTCATTCACATAAATCCCAACGCATATCTTCGCAGAAGTGATAGTTTTTGGCTGCTTTTGAGGATTTTTTTCTTCATTAAAATTTTCGTCTTTCTATGTGTTTTATCGCTTTTCGTGCTCATGTTCTTTTTTGTGCGGAATATTGTTTTATGACTTTAGGATGTGGAAAATATACACATACATACATATGTAGAAAATTTCTATGTATTTTACTAAATAGTCAATAAAACAAAAAAAAAAAACATTCTGTTTGCCAGCGGACTGGGTTGGTTTGCAGTTTCGAAAATAGCACGAATTGGCTGCTTTTAGTTCAGCTTTTAGCTCTATCAGCGGTATGTCTGTGTATGCTAGTGAACGTAAAATTTTATAATAAAACAATTTATTTATTTTTTTTCAATTTTCAACAGGCATTCCGATCGCGCGCTAAACATATGCATAACGACGTTATTTCGAGCAACAGATCAAATGTACATGGTTTGTGTACAAGAATACACATCTGTGTTTGCTGTATGTATGTATATGAACGAAGATAAAAGCACTCATAGACGAAAAATTGTTTGATGGCGCCCCAAAATAAATTCTTCAGTTCTATTTATTTTTGTTGATGTTGTAGGTATGTAGAAGGCCTTATGTTATCTAATCCTATGTGAGCATGTTTTTGTTGCAAAAAAAAAACTATTGAATGCTATTGAACTGTGTATCCGGGGAAAGTACTTATATAAAACTTCTCAGAAATAAGAAGTAAAGTAAAGTGGAGAACCGGCCGGGAACGAACTTGGATTCTAAATAGATGCTGAACAGTTTTCTGGTTGGAAAAGGATGGCACCAAGAACTACAACCTCAATCAATGTTGCAGATTATCAATTGTTGGGTGAAATTGGTAAAATTCGAAGAGATAAAAAATAAGTGGTTGGGGCAATAAAGCTCTGGTGCCTGAATAGTTGGATTGTTTTTTAGTTTAGAGCAGAAAATTGCCGGCATTTGGCTTTTTGTCATCATTGATATGTAAATTGAATTACTTTTGGGCCTCACTGGCCTATATTTGGAGTTTTTACGCCTTCGGGGTTACATCAACCAAACGTGTTTATAAGCAAATATAGCTTCTTTTACCTTTAGTTTGATACCCATATTGAATAAAATATTTCAAACAGGTGGCAACCCTCCTAAAAATATTTTCAGCAGGCACCACCTTTTTCACCTTTTAAGTTTGTTACCCACATTACAATATTTTATTCACCTAATCAATTAAATTAAGTTCTAAATTTCAAACAGGTGGCCACCTTGCGCTAAAATTTTTGAGCTGAAACCCTTCTTAAGCCACTTTCTTTCGAGAGCCATATTGCAATATTTACTTTATTTTATCAATTTACTAAAACTGAAATTTTCAAACAAGTGGCAACTCTCTAATTATTATTTTTCTATATTTTGAGTTAGACATGCATTGCTAATCCGTGGAACCGTGAATCGTGTCCTATTCTGTTCAGCAATGAAAAGTAAATTTTATTTGGGAAAATGCCGAAACAGAACCAGTACGGACTTTGTCAGAAGACACTGGTCCAATAGGTGACTGCTATCCTTATAAAGAGCCAATTAGGCATTGCCAAACAATTTTACTGAGGAAAATGAGGTTATTGCTAGCACAGTTTAACAGAGTCGAGGGAAACTTATGAACACACCCATTATCTTATTAACCTATTTAGTGCTAAGTGCCCAATATTTTCTGACCACAAAGCCAGAATGCGGGTTTTGTCTTAAAGACGGTTGTGACTTCAGAACACATTACTTGTGATTGCGCCCGCCTACCATGACCTTTTAAATCTTTGCAAGGTAAAAGCATAGACTTCAGAAAAAGTGGAGGTTATCAATTATCTGGAATATTTTTTTTTATCCGGTAACTTTGGACCACGTGAACCGTTTCCGATATATATTTTTTTCTTTTTTGTCGGAAAGGTGGCACTACTGGGTAGCTTTTACGAATAATTTTTATATGAACAATTTACTTAAAGTGGCAACACTGCTTGCTAGAATCCGAATAAATTCCAGACGACTTCAAATCATTAAAGTTATTACAGATTTTAATAAAAAAAAGACGGCAATTGAAAGAAACGCGCTGCTAAAAGTATTTTTTTTTTTAGTGTAATAATTAAGTAGATTATTAGGTATTGTCATCTAATGTGACTTTCTATTATTCTGTGTTTTGATATACATAAATCTATATATATATAAATGTATAATTGTATATCGACTGCTGAGTGGAAAACCGACCTATCTCAGGAGAATGCCCTGTCTCAGCTGCTGATTCGAAAACGACCTATCAGAGCACATTTTCATTATATTTTGAAGTGAGATAGGACATGCTTTAACCAAATTTTGAGATAGAGTGTTTTTCAATAAAATTTTGAAATAGAGCGCTCTTTAAACGTTTTTTGAAATAGCGTGTTTTCGAACTGGCTACCGAGATATGTAGGTCGATCTTCCACTCAGCAATCGATATGTGCATACATTTTTGTTAAACTTCCTCAATTCCAATTTTGCTACATAAACTTACCCTTCAGGGATCTGATGTAAGATTGCCAGAATTTCGCCTTCTTGCTGGGGGTCTCATTGCGACCAATCATTTCCAAATGGTTTTTAAACATTTTGATAGATTTGCTGTTGCTTGTAACAGAACAAGAAATCTAATTTATATATTTTTAAGATTTTTGAGTTTCGATGTCAAATATCTCGTTCGCTGCAATGAATAAAAAAAGCAAAGGAAGAGAGAGATAAATTAAAAACGACGATTAAAGTGAATGGATGTTATAGATATGAAATAATTTTAAATTTTAAAATGAATGGAACTTATTAAACCAAAAATATATATATATATATATGTAAATATTTTTATAAGTTTTTTCTTAAATTAATAGTTCAATCATGGTTCCCAATCACTTCACCGCTTTTTTTTGTCAAGTTTGAAACTTCAAATTAATATATAAAAAATTTTACTTTTTTTATGCTAAGCTCTTTGCTGTCTGCTCGTTTATTTGTCTGTAATTCTGCTCCAGTTTTTTCGGCTAAGGAAATAAAAACACGCAGAAAATTGTCGACGTTCGCAAAGACGACAAGATCACCGAACACTAAAAATATAATTTCACGTATAGTGAAATGAATGTTCACACTTTTCAAAAATGATTCGTCAATTTCGCGCTTACATACATACACACACACATACACACGAAGAAAAGTTATGCTACACGCGCAACAAAATATTTTTTTGTGTGCAGTTCGTTGAGCGTCGCAGTGAGAGCGCCTGAGGTGCTACACTCGTGAGGCGGCAAGCGAGGGTGGGCAACAGCAAGAATAACAACAAAAACAACAATAGCAAAAAAAGCTTATTTTCCTCAGCGTACGTGTTGAAAAAACGCTCGCGGAAATTATTGTTTATTTGCTAAGTGTTGAAGGTGTTGGTAATAATGATGCTCCTCTGGCTGGTGGTTGGTTGTGTTGCTGTCGTACATACAGACATACATACATACATACATAAGCGGTGGTATTAGCGGTTAATGTAGTTGTTGTATGGGGCCGCAGTGGCAGCGGCTATGCGAGTAGCGGCAGCTAAAATTCACGGTTATTTTTAAATGTCCTTGAGTTGAATATTTTCACAGCGCGCCGCCAACGGTGGGTCGTTTTGAGTAGAATAATTATACACACAAATAATGTTTGTATGTAACGGTATACATGAGTGTGCTGTGGCCACTTGCAGAGGTCGATCTTTTTGGTGCTCGATCACCCGAACGGCTCACATGCTTGAGGGATTGAGGAAGATTTTATTGTATTGCTATACCCTTTTCATAATTGAAAATTTTTCTATAATTTTTGTTTTTAAAATTTTATTCGTTTTTTTCTGGTTTACGCACGAAAAAATGTTTAGCACACAAAAAATTTAAAAATACTTTGCTCCTCCTTTGCTGCTTTCCGTGTTAAGCCGCTATGAATAGTGCTTGAATTTGCGTTGAATTGTTGTTGTTAGCGCTCATCAATTTTTTGGCACGTCTACAAAATTTTTAAAGATTTCATTTCGTTTTTTCGGTGTAGCTTTAGCTTTTGAAAACTTTTGCTGCTGCGGCTGATATGAAAATTGCAGCTCCAAAATT